GAGTCGAAAACTGCCATCGATTCAAATCTCCAGTCAAGGCTGGTCAGACCAGAATAGTATTCATTCAGGTTCTTCCTTCGAGCTCTCCTTTCAGCTCTCCTCAATATATCCAGGTTGCAGCCTTGATCCGTGGTGATGAGCGGCATTCGTTTGCATGATGCAACAGCAGGAGCGATGCAGATGTCAGCGTGCAGAGTGCGGCGTGCAGCCAATAGCAGTCCGCTGATTGCGACCCTGCGCCTGCCCGCCCAAGTCCAGGTCGCCTGTCCCTTGTCCTTGCGCATGTGTCTTCATGGCGGCCACATATTTTACCGACATCGCCAAGCTGCTGATCATGATGTTCTTTGTTATGCCTGCTTCACTCCGTCTATTTCGTCATCATATCTTTTTTTGCTGCCGATCAAATTGCCTCTAGGCCTATTATTGAGGATTTCGCGAATTTGTCGTCTGCCATTGACGGCCACCACATTTGCTTCGTGTCGTTGAACCAGACCAACAGTCACTGAAATGTTTCCAGGAACCATGGCATGACCAGCATATGCCAGCAACTTTCGAGGTCGAAGCTCCCTGCTGCCTATGTTTCACTCTCGTGACAGTCGGTATCCCCCACTTGGTCGATTCGACGGCGCAACGGAACATAAAAGTAAAAAAAAAAAGGAAGAGAGAGGAGAAAGAGAGAGAGAAAGAGAGAGAGCGGAGTTAACTCAATCAACTTACCAGGAGGATGAGAATAATTTTTCGGCTTGATAGATCAATGAGGGGTTTCAAAACAACTCGCTACAAGTCAAATGCGGAGAGAGGGCAAGACTTCAAAAGGAGAGAAAACTCAGTAAGATGTTTGTGGGAGGGGGGAAAGAGCCATGCTTTTATTGTGCCATGGAGTCGTTCTCCGGCCTCGCCCACTCACGCTCATCCATCATCTTTCAAACACAACCCACAATAGCTAAAAAGTCAGTCGAGTCAACCGGACGCCAAGCCCAGGGCCAAAATCCCAGCACCTTACTCTGTGCTGCAGAAACGATAAACCTTGGTGGTGGGCAACTCTGCTTAGACGAAGAAAATGGACGCTCCCCCACCAGCGGCTATTTGGGTTACCGGGGGCTTGATTAGCTGCGACTTTGTGGAGTCTACTGGGATCATCTCAACGCCATGGACGGCCCTACACAAAATTGCCCAATGTTGCATTGATTTGCTGCTGGAAAGCTCACAAGCTCGGTGCTTCGTGTAATAGCAGCGTGGCCTGCCTGGTCTGCGGGCGGTCCTGTCATGTCCGCCCAAGCAACTGGGCAAGGCGACAATCCGACCGAGAGGCGTCCGGACCGATGAGGCCAGCAGGGCAGCAGCAACCAACCCCTCCACTCTCCACCACCCAAGAAGCACGTGTCAGAAAACACCTCAATGAACAATGATCTGTTTCACTAATACTTCCACGCAGATTGGTTGAGCCGAAACGCGAAGGAAGAGGACCTCCGTGCTGCCCTTCTCTCCGTCTGCTGCGACCTTTACGCCTCCGATGCCGCATATCGTTGCCAGCACGCCCAGTCAGACTTTGGAGCTAACACTGGTGTTTGACAAGCCCCCAATTCGCCCGTCTTGTGGCATGGGAAAAACTAAGAACTTTTTTTTTCTGTACATACATTCCAACCACGACACTGGGACCAGTGGGAAAACGTCCAGCTGGGATCCCGATCTATCCCGTCCCAGGATCTAGCCACACGCTGCAGGTCCGTACGTAATAAACTCAGATGATGCTGGGCATGGTTTCTGGGGGCATTGCCTATTGCGTCTGCCGAGCGAGATCTGATTACCCCCAAAAAACTATCCCATTACCCCGAAAAACCATTTTATTACCCCCCAAAAAAAAAAACCTAAACTACCCTCACAGAACCGCACCCCGGCTTGTCACCACAGAGATGCGGAGCAGTGGCAGTGGCAGTGGCAGTGGCATCCGTAATAGCAGACGGAAAGAATGGTCTCATTGTCTCCCCGCCCAGGTCAATAATTTACTGGGGAGGGGCCCAGACCAGGAGCAAGGGGCAAAGTTTCCGTGCAAGAAAAAAAAATACGCGGATGGTTGTGTTGTTTTGCAACCGTAATATGTATGTGGCTTTCCACATTCGTCGGATGTATGTATATCTCTGACCTCACATCCGTGGTAATCATGAAGCGGTTTGCTACTACATTTTTGTAACAGAAATCTGGTGCCAGAATCTCCGAATGCGGGATTCATGGCCCCACATGTGCCTCCAAGGATGCAGCCAACCGTCATGGTTTGCCTCGGAAGAGCAACATCAAGGGTGCTGCATCTCACTAGAAGAGAAAACTCTCTTGCGCCAATCATGGCCTGGAATTTCAAAGCCTCACGCCGATGTCGCGGAAGACACCATCACTCTAAATTATTTCAGACAAGGATCCTGCATGGGTGTCGTCACCGCGACGCGGGGGACGGGGCTGCTGCCAGCCATTCTAGCAGCAATATTTCCGCCTCGTTGCATCGTTGCAGTGGTTGGTCAAGGAGACAAGACGCTGCTTATTGCCCTACTGGTCAGTTTTTGTTCCCAGTCTCAACGTGGCTGCAGGTGTGTTCGTTCCGCGAGATCTCTGCTTCACAGGCAGACACATTGCACGGTCTAGCCCTCGCCGACCATGGAGGGCTGGCCGGTGCCATTGCGGATGTTGGTTATACTACATGTACACGACATAACTTTTATTTTCTTTGTCCTTCATCATTGTGATGCATGGTGCAAGGGCGGCTGACCATTTATCCCCGGTTGGATGATGGTCTGCTTCGAACACATAGCGAATGGTGTTTTGTGGCATCTCACGAGTCATACAGGGAAATCGGCACCGACACAAGCATCAGCCGTCGGAGTTTCTGCGCAGTGGGCGGAAAAAGTAACGAAACGGCGCTTGCAAGTTGTCACCAACAATCGGTACCAGTTCGGGCATGCCAGTGTTATATTCCAGCCATGTTTCGTTGTTGTAACCCACAACCTCGGTCTAGCTGTTGTCTAGCTGTTGTCAATGAATCGACAACAGAAAATGAGCAGGGTGAACCAATCATGGAGCTTCCGCCCTTATCTCGACGTGGAGCAGGCTGCCGGGCCGTTAACTCACAGTGTTCGCTAGTGCCGCATTATCCTGCCTGAATCAATGGCCCGGCAGTCCGTCAGAGTCGGTCATCAGCCTGGGAGAGTTCGATGGCGCCCATCCAGACATTGACATGCGATTTTGGTGGCAAATGGAAATGACCAATCTGACGTTGCTGTCACAGCCCCTTCTGAAGCCTGTAGATCAACGGAGGGAACGCGCACATCCTGTGGTGCGACCGTAGCACAGGCCAGAACGACTGGGACAAAATCCAGCCCCGTCTGTCAAGGTGGTCGTATGTTCGTGGCAGGATGAAGCTCAGAGTCATATATTCAATTAATGGTGACATTTCAGAATGGACAGTGGCTATTCACAGCTAGGTCTGCAGACTTCAACAAGCGCTCTCACTGATAATCAGCTTACAGAGTAGTAATTGAAGTACCTCCCACGATGGCACATGCCTGCCCACATGTTATTTCCGACCCGGAATTCTGCCACATTGCAAGTTGGTGCCTACTCCGTAGTGTGGCTGCAGATGATTTCGGAGTCCAACCCCGAGTCCAACGTCAGTTGCTGACCGCCAGCACATGCTGAGGAACATGTGTCTCACGCGGTCCATAATTCCAGAACTCTCTGGTGCGAGGTTGTCAGGACCCTGTTGCCTGTCAATCCCTGCGGTGAGGGTCCAGTTTGGTGCGGTTCGGGCACAACAGGCCACTTGATGGAAAGCTGTTCTTTGTTGAGGTGAAGGATCCCGGAAAATCCCGATCATCTCTTCGTCCTGCCGTCGAGGATGCAGCTGCGGCAAAGCAGTAAGAAAAATATGCACCGCCAATCGCCAACGTGGTCGGCTGCCCTAGGTAATAAGGTGCCACTCTTGTATCAGACTGTGATTTTAACCAATTAAAAACCTTTTATAAAAAGGTACTAAATCTTATTAGGAAATCATATGAAAATAAAAGTTCTTAAGTTATAAAAGGTACATTACACCTATCATCTTTTAACCTTTAATACGGCTACTTTATTTACTAAAGAGGTATTTCCTTAGAAATATAGAAAAATGGTGCAGCTATAGCAGCGGCACCTTATCACATTAAAAGGGATACATAATCATATTGTGGCCATTCACAGCCTTCTATCCAAGATGAGCAGGCTTGGGGTACGGCTCAGGGCTGCAGACTCTATGGAGTTCCAATCTGCACAACTGTAGGGTAGTCTTTGGGTTGCAGAGGGGGCTCCTGGGAAGGCATGACGTGCGGCTTGCCTGGGACCTTGTCAATACTAATCTCTGGAACGGACGGAAGTGACGTTGCGTTATCTGTGCAGTTCAAGAGTCAACATGGCTGAATGATTGGTGGTTCCATCTGTACCATGTGCCCATCGCATGCGATAGATCTTGGTCTGCCATAATATACATAGGTACCTACCTAGGTAGGTACACATCTAGGTACATTAGGAAGGTCAATCTTGGACCGCGGCTGTTTAAGCGCGCCACGCGCGTCAGCTGCGGGTCTTTTGGCCCAGGAACCATTTTGATTACGACCACCCCTTCAACCCTCAACGTCGACAAGCATTTAAAGCGCTATTAAGCTCAACCATATTACAGCACGGTGTGTTTTTTGATACTTGCTGTGTGAAATGTTGACAACTCTCCCCGACTTTACCCCACGAGATGTAAGATTGGTGTTTGCACCATCATCAGATATTATTTGACTTGGCTGACAATCAGCTCCTAGTCCCATTCGCTGTGGTACACGTCGTCCAGAGGAGGGACCTCGCAACCGCAGGGACTGCACGATACGCATCATGGAGACTCACCAAACCATAATCATGGTTCTGGCCAATCAAGGTCGAGGGGTCACATTATAGAACGAACAGCACTCGCACGTCTCGCCGCCGACGAGCAGTATATGCATCGACGCCGAATACAGGTACAAAACTTTGGAAGCGGCTGGCTACGACCGCCTGGTGTAGCCAAGACCCTACGTCAGATGCGTGAGGAAAAGCGCGAACAGGAAGAGCACCAGGAAGCCATGCGTCGAGAACAGTTAGCTCAGGAACTTGCCGAAGCAGAAGGAGGCGGAATGCCGGAAGAAGGCATGATGGATGATGTACAACTAGACGGCGCACATGATCTCGACGATGAAATTCCTGAGGCCGATGACCACTTTGGCATGGGAGATGACTACGAAAGCGACGACGGGGATGAAGAGGGACTCGAAGCAGAAGACTCGGAAGAATTAGATGATGAAGCTCTGCGCGAAGAACGCCAAAACGACCTAATGGCAGCACGTATGCGCATGGCCGACGACGCATTTCGTGAAGCTCTTGTCCGCGGGGACCCCGACGGCGATGACATGTACGGCGGAGTAGAGGAGCTCGAGGAAGAGCACCAGGGCCACATGCTCGACGAAGAGGACTTTGCGCACGATGATGGCATGGAGGCAAATTTGGACGATGATATTCCCGAAGCTGAGAGCGGTCTGTACGAACACACGGATTCCGAGGCTGAATTAAGCAGTAGCGACGACGAAGAGCGTGACGGAGAGCAAGAGGACCAGGGTATTGGATTCGTGCCAAGAACGGCACAGATGGCACCGCCTCAGAGTCCGACATTACGGGGGAGAAGGGTTTCGGGGAGGGAGAGTTTGGACTTGAGCAACATCCTGAGTCAGGACGAGAGTAGTTTTATGGACAGTAGCCCTGTCCAGAGGAGACGGCATGGATGAACGAATACGCGAGTATGAATATGATACCCATGGTGAGGAACGCTACTTGTTGGTTGATTGGTGGTAGATGAAGAGCGGTCGATACCCTGATAGTGGGCGACGCAAGTGTACAACAGGATTACTTTGTATTGTCAAGTACAAACCATTCAGTTTATGCTATACCGCACTGGAATTGCCCGGAGCGACTGCACATGCAACCTTGGACTGTCTATGATTATTGGCCTATGCTCCACCGTGACTTAAATGCCGTGAATTGTGATGTAGTAGACTGACATAATCGAGGCACCTATCCAAGTAGATGGTGCCGGTCTTATTTCTGCCGCAAACCACTTACTTTGCCGTACCAAAGGCAATATAACGTTCAACTCAAAGCCACGGCATGTCCAGTTAATGACTTTCGTTTTATAGGCCCAAACCCGGTCCTCGCACACACCAGCATCTCAAGTACATGCCGTATCGCCAGAAGAAATCCAAATCACACCACTCTATCAACTAAACCTCACATTAAAAAAAAACCAATCTCCTCCACCATGCAAGAGTAACAAAAAGAGAAAAACAATACCCCAAAAGAATAACGCCCGCCATATGCATTTTTCAAAGCTCAGTCGCCAGAAAACCACCCATCCACTTAATTCACCTCGCCAATATTACCCCCCCCCCCCCCGC